AAAAAAAATTATACATTAAAAAAAATCTAAAACAAATATAAATTTTTATTAAAAATAACAAGTTGCAATTGCGAAAAAAAATTTATACAGTGCATTTCATTAATAATGCTCAAAAAATGCGCCAAATGTTTGTGTAAAAGTTTGACAGGTGTTCACTTTCAAATTATCAAGTGAATATAGATGAAATCAAAGAACTAAATTTTAATAGGTAACAAATATTAAAAGTCTGATCATTGAAGCTTAATAACTATTAATTAATAGAATTCAGCAATTGAAAGATCTCAAACCACATATCTTTGTCTTCTCAAATATTTTTTTTTGGTTTGTTTATGCATTCATTTTAATATTGATAGAAAATTGGACGTGTGGAAGAGTGAGCGACGTTAAAATTATATATTGAGATATGTAATTGTTGTGATGAAAAATAAAGGTTGTCTTCTTTTTCTAAGGCGGTTTATCTGGTTATACCTTTAATTAAAACGTCAGGTGTGCTTTTACGTCATCATTGGACGTTGGTTTTATTTTTTTTAGATATTTTGTCTCATAATTGTTTGTGTTTTGTATTATGAAATTTATTACAACTGTGTTTGCTAAAGCTATTAGATGGACCTAATGTAAGAAATGTAGACTATTTTGATGTCATTCTCAGGATTAAAAATATAAAAAATATACACAAAAAGTACATGAATAGACAAAATTTTACAAAATTTATTTGTGAGATTCACTTCTTGAAAATCCTATAATTTATTTATTTTTTGTATTATATTTTATGTTTGGTTTTTGTCCTTTTTTTAAATATAATTTTCTTTATTTTCTGTAAAAGTTTATTTTTAAAAATTAATAAATAAATGAATAAATCATTTTGTATTTCAAATTTTTGTTTTTATTTTTTTATTTTTTCTTAAAGTGGTTTTAATTTTGGACAATTACTTACTTTTTTTTTTCTTTTTTTTATATATTGTAATTTTGTGCATTTTAAGTGTATGATATTTTCATTAATACACTCGAAGATACACTATGAAAGAAGTATCACGCGGAAATCAAGTAAAAAGAAAAAAAATAAATAAAACAATACGATGAATGTGGAATAAAAATCAAAGATCAAAACTCCCAAAGCAAGCAAGTAGAATAGAATGTTTGGCAATAGACATTTGAAAATTTGTTACAAAATTTTATAACTTTTCTTTTTGTTAAGAAAATTCTATTTAGTACTAGCTAAATAAATGCTTTTAAAATATATTTTTTTAATTTGAAATTAAAACTATAAAAATTTATATAAGCATAATTACTAATCACATATTACTTAATGTATAATATTATATTGACTACCTTTTTCATGTTTATTTTTTTAAATATTTATATAGAATTACAAAAATATTGTTAGGAATAAATTTTTCCTTAAATTTTGCCCATAAGTTATTTTTAAATTTTAAATAAAAGTAAATGTAAAATAATTAATTGAAGATATGCTATATTTGTTATATTTTCTTTTTCTGTGTATAAAAAAAAATTAAAAATCATAATTTATATATCTATAAATAATTATAAACACAAGAGTGAAACACTATTTCTTAAAATTGAAATTACTCTTTTCAATTCAATTGGAGGGCCGTTTATGTGGATGGAATCTGGAGGGAATTGCGTGTGAAAGAGACGAACCGGCGATTTTCTTTCAGGGAAATGTACGAAGCGGGGCGTCCCATGGTAGTTAAAGTGGACTCTCTTCCCAGTCGTCGTCCGATTGGAGAATCTATCGGGAAGGTGCGTCCTTTTGGCAATGATATCTCGACATCTGTGAAACTTTTGACTATATTAACAACACTTTGACCCGGGTCGGCCTTTGAATTCGTTACGTGTCTAATCCACAAATCACACATATAAATGTTTAGTATTTATTTCTACAAAAATGTTTCATGTCCTCTTTTCTCTTCACTCCTTTTGACCCTTCTCTCTCATTGATTATATATATATATATATATTTTTTTTACTCCTTCAATCACCACCCATCACGTGTCTGTAAAATTATAGAAATGATAATTAGAAGGGATCTCTATCATAGCTCTTATTTATAATTAACATGGCAGCTATCACAATAACATTTTTGCCAACCGTAACGTATTCAAATATTTAAAACATGATTACCGTGTCACATTAATTTTTAGATAATATTGAGGATATTAAATTTTTTATTAAATAAATAATTATTATGAACTTGACATCTATATGAGATATTTAATTATTTATGTAGTAAAACATTTTTCTTATTTTTTTTAACTTATTACATAATTTTTTTAATATAACACCAAAGTATTATATTATTATTATTTGGATGGAAAACAAGAATACTAAAAATATGTTTTTGAATACATTTAATCTTTTTTTTTTTAATTTTTTTTATAAATAAGCTTGTTTAAAAAAAAATCACTTTTTAAAAGAGTAAAAAAAATAAAAAAAAAATTTAGCGTATTTGTTCCAAATGTGACAATATAACGGATATGATGTGACAATTTTAAAAAAACAAAATCTTCTTAGTGTACTTTTTGCAAGCGTGATAATGTAGTGAATATGGTGTGACATTTTTAAAAAAAATTAAAAAATTCTTTAGAGTATTTTTTCTAAACGTGACATGTGACATTCCAACGTGACGAATATGTTGTGACATTCTAAAAAAATAAAAAAATGTTTTGTGTACTTTTTTCAAATGTGATATTCTAACATGACGAATATGATGTGACACTAAAAAACTTTTTAATATATTTTTTTTAAATGTGACACTCTAATGTAACGGATAAATGAGTCATTACACATCTAAAAGAACTAAATAAATTATAAGAACAAAATTAGGATTATATAGATTATAAGTTCAACATACGAGACTTATTGATCAATCTTAAAAAAAAAAATTTATTAAAAAAAAATATTATTTTAAAAATATTTATCTTCAAAACAAATATAATAATCATGTGCTAGGCCAATGGGCAGTCAATTGATAGACGATTTACCTTTGAATACAAAGGAATATCGACCAAATCATTTTGCTTGTGAACTAACGTGGAAACATTTTATTATCAGATTGGCCCACGGTTTACTTGTTGTCTTCTGCCTTGTAGCTTTACGAATGAATAAATTGTGAGCGCTCTAATTTGGAAGTTTAGTGATATTATAATATCTATATGTGAGGTGATATGTATACTTATATTTTTTATTTATTTTTTTCTCTTATTATATTATTAATTTTTTTTTTAAATTTTAAAATTAAAGTTCTATCATTATCGCTTTACCAATATATAGTTATTTCAAGTAAACATGCAATACAAGAATTTAAACAAATAAGTGAAACAATTAAATCTAGACTATCCAATCAGCTCATACATCTAGAACAAGAAAGAATAAAAGTCATGGTAAATAGAAACTTTCATTGCTACACACCATTGAATTCATCTTCAAACCATACATCATGTACTTCTATTAAAATCTACATATTGTATTTGAGGTTTTTTCAAAACATAATATTCAAATTAATCCAATACTATACTATATAGGTAGTGAAATTATCAAAATTCAAATTTTTTTAAAGTAATTCGTTGGGTCCAGTCGAAACTCAACAGTTATAACCCAGCTTTTTGTAATAAGTTAGCGGTTTGGTTTCTTCATTAATTTGGTCCGAAATAATAAATAATGAATAAATAAAAATATTTTTCCAGTTAAAAACATCTTTTTTCCTAATTTTCAATAATTTAAAAAAAAAAATTATTTTAACTATTTTTTTTTTCCTCTTAAACAGTATTTCGACATGAAATGCGAAGCTGGGCCCAATAGTTTTTTGATTGATACGGGCCCGACAAAAGATGCATTTGAATTTATTTAGTTTTGGGTCAGAATTCATGGACCCAAATTTGGATAAATTGACGTGGGCTTAATTGAGTCATATGAAGCAAATTATGAAGCCCATATCGCTCTATAGGCCCATTCACTGGTAAATGGGTACGAAAAATGAAATTCGTAGGGTTTCATGAACTCAGCTCGTGCTATATATATATATATATTCTCAATGCTTTGGCTCCCGACTGCGTGAAGACCTAGGGTTTTGGATCCTGCTTGCTTCATCTTCAACGAAGAGAGCAGCCCTCAAAACCGAAATGGTGCTCTCTCTCTCTCTCTCTCTCTCTCTCTCTCTTATGTGAGGTGATATGTATACTTATATTTTTTATTTATTTTTTTCTCTTATTATATTATTAATTTTTTTTTTAAATTTTAAAATTAAAGTTCTATCATTATCACTTTACAAATATATAGTTATTTCAAGTAAACATGCAATACAAGAATTTAAACAAATAAGTGAAACAATTAAATCTAGACTATCCAATCAGCTCATACATCTAGAAAAAGAAAGAATAAAAGTCATGATAAATAGAAAATTTTATTGCTACACACCATTGAATTCATCTTCAAACCATACATCATATACTTCTATTAAAATCTACATATTGTATTTGAGGTTTTTTCAAAGCATAATATTCAAATTAATCCAATACTATACTATATATAGGTAGTGAAATATCAAAATTCAATTTTTTTTAAAGTAATTCGTTGGGTCCAGTCGGAACTCAACAGTTATAACCCAGCTTTTTGTAATAAGTTAGTGGTTTGGTTTCTTCATTAATTTGGTCCGAAATAATAAATAATGAATAAATAAAAATATTTTTCCAGTTAAAAACATCTCTTTTCCTAATTTTCAATAATTTTAAAAAAAAACTTATTTTAACTATTTTTTTTATCCCTCTTAAACTGTATTTTGACATGAAATGCGAAGCTGGGCCCAATAGTTTTTTGATTGATACAGGCCCGACAAAAGATGCATTTGAATTTATTTAGTTTTGGGTCAGAATTCATGGACCCAAATTTGGATAAATTGACGTGGGCTTAATTGAGTCATATGAAGCAAATTATGAAGCCCATATCGCTCTATAGGCCCATTCACTGGTAAATGGGTACGAAAAATGAAATTCGTAGGGTTTCATGAACTCAGCTCGTGCTATATATATATATATATTCTCAATGCTTTGGCTCCCGACTGCGTGAAGACCTAGGGTTTTGGATCCTGCTTGCTTCATCTTCAACGAAGAGAGCAGCCCTCAAAACCGAAATGGTGCTCTCTCTCTCTCTCTCTCTCTCTCTCTCTCTCTCTCTGTATATACATATATATTTCAGATCTATAGCTGTCGATCTAATGCTCAGTAGGTTTATATTTACTTGGATTGAATTTATCGATTTTAAATTAATTAGTTGTGCTTCATCTAAAATTTTGATTTGTTTTCTTGACTAATGTGAAGATGATTTGAAAGTAGTGTTTCTGGTTATATAGATGTTCATAAATTTTTGACATATTCATATCGGTTGTTTTGTACAAGACTCATTTATGTTGCGATTCTTCTATGAGAATTTTGATAGTATTAATACCCGTTAAAGTTGTAAGACATATGAAGTAGAGACATATGATAGTATTAATGGCTGTTGAACAAGTGAAGCTGATTATAGTTTTTATTTTGTCGTGAATGTTTCTATATATAGAACATTTCACTTCATCCCAACTTTAGAAGATGAAAATCCAACATGTGCTATGTTTTTGGTGGTTAGTTGAATCTGGCTTGTAGTCGCATGTGAAATGTGTTACTGAATACATCTAACATAGTTTTGTGACAAATATGGCTCTATGAAAGTGGCACAGATAGATTCTTCTAAGTTGGATGCCTCAATTTTTTAAACAATTGTAATGAACATTTCTAAACCAAGTGAAGTAACATTACAACAGAAATACAATCCTGTTTCATCCCAACTCCCAAGTATTGGAGAGAAGAAAATTCAATTTTAACAATTTACTTGTGTACTAAAATCTAGGATTTGGGGCTTGGATGAATCTAGGATGTATGCCTTGTAATGCATAAAAAAGGTGGGAACAATAATGAAGTTGTTCATTTCAAGTTGGGGGCCCATTCGGGAGCCCGTTTAGTGTGTAGTTTATTGTCAATATGGGTCTTATTGTATGCCTAAAACCTACTTTATGTTGAGTTTAATTTTAGGATGCTTGAGTGAGTTTTAGTTATATGATTTATTAAGTTTGAAGAGTTCAGGGTGTATTGGTAATTTCAGAAAACACCTGAATATTTTTCATAATTTAGATCGCTAATTAGAATTGTTCCAGTTTAGTAGAATAAGAAGATTTTTTATTGTGCAAGTTAAATGAGAGAGAGAGGAGATTTTTCTAGGGTTACTATTATGCAACTGTCACATTTTATATTGCCCACTTTGAAGTTTTGTTATGGCTATTATTGTTTATTTGTTAACTCTCTACTCCTTCCTCTTCTTGTTTGCATAAAGTTTTGAATTTTTCCGAAACATCATAACTTGCCTGTTGTTGCTAGGCTCTAATTTTTTTTTGTTCCACTTGTCAATGTGAAGAATTGTAGTCAAATTAAGATCACTAAGTTTTTAAATCTTTAGGATGGCTTTAACATAAAAAATCAAATTCTTCCTGCTTTTAGTGGCAGGTGGTTTGTTTATCATTGTATATCAAGATTTTAAATGAATATTTGGGAAGTTAGAAATTACAGTTATTTGCTGATTATGCTTTGTTGTCGATGTCTGTTGGTGCTAACTTTCTCCCTATCTCTCTTTATACACAGCCCAAGCAAATCCATGAGATCAAGGACTTCCTTCTCACTGCCAGAAGGAAGGATGCACGTTCTGTGAAAATCAAGAGGAGCAAAGAAGTTGTGAAGTTCAAGGTTCGTTGCTCCAAGTACCTCTACACACTCTGTGTGTTTGACTCAGAGAAGGCTGACAAGTTGAAGCAATCCCTTCCTCCAGGTTACTTTTTAACTATCTTTAAATTGAGTAATTTTAATTCTCTCAGTAATAATGTATTGTGATATATTATCTTATTGATGATCATATTTTTTGTTCATGACGTTTTCCACATTCAATGAGACATTTGTACTTTTCCTTGACACCAAGTAAAGAATTCCAGGAAAGTGGCCCTACCTAGGGCTGGAAAAAATGTGCTAGATGGGTGAGTGGTTGATAACTCCGAAGGTATCTGGAATCAAGTTGCAAGGCCAAAAATTTCACAATGTTGAATACTAAAAAAATTTGCACAACGTTATATACAATTTGGATGTCATTTTTAAAGTTTCAGATAGTGTCAAAAATTATTTAAATAATGTCAAACTTGTCTAAGTTGCTGCTGATAATCACTAGTGCTTATCACGAACAATTAAAATGCAAACCAAAGAGTTGATCATGACTATGAAATTGCTTAAACTATGCATATCAAAAAGATAATATCCTTGCTTCAGACTCCCAAGTAACAAAGAGCTTTTTGGACCCTCCATGTTTCTCCATTTCTCTTATGATTTCTTGTTACTGTGACGTATCCTTCTGCCTATCATATATCTCATCTCCTTTTGCTATGTCTGCAATTTATCGATTTTTCAACCTAAATGATCTTTGTTTATTTGGCCATAATTTTGCAGGTTTGAGCGTGCAAGACCTGTGAATCAAGTTGAGATGGAGTTGGAAGCGTAATTTGAAGCCCTTGTTTATTTAGAGTAGTGCTTTTGCAACATATCAGATTTTATTGAAAAAGCACTTGTTTGTGATGGTTTTGGATTTACATACTACTTAAAACCTTTAGGCATTATTGTCTTTTTTGACTAGCTCTGGATATGTTTATCTGGTTCTTTAATGTTAGCGCTCTTTTTATTTGATTGCTCGACTGCTTTATTTTCTTCGTGACCTGATTGGTGAGGAGGTGATGGGAGGGGTGGACCTAATCTGCCTTCATTTTTGGTTTGTCCTACTTAGGGGGGATGATTGGTTGCGAGTGTTGTGTGTTCAACTTTGATTTTATGGTTTGCTTAGCTTCTTTGGTTGCGAGTGATGTGTGTTCAACTTCAATTTTATGGTTTGCTTAGCTTCTTCTAGATCTCATATGCCTCATTTAATTTGGCTATGTTATATAAGGCCCTTCCTAGTCTAGTTGGCATGGTCGCTACTAGCTAGTTTCTCCTTGTGAAATGTCTTTCATTTGCTGTGAGATTTGACATAATAATTCTACAGATCCGGAAACCACTGCGGCTTTAGTTTGGTCTTTGCTCTGTAAACCAAAAAATACAAAATTGACAATTATAGTCAGGAGGCCTAGCTCTTTATTTTAGAGGGTCCATTCGAAAGTGGTTGTGGTAGTGGTTGTGGTTGCGGCATCTTACTTACTTTTTAATTGCCTTATTCAATAAACCGACATACTTCATTCTTGCAATATTCAATTGCCTTATTCAATAAACCGACATACTTCATTCTTGCAATATTCAATTCGAGAAATATATTATACTAGAAATCTCGACCTTTGAATCTAACTTGTGCACGCAACGAGTAGAGGTGCAGAAGGGCCGATGAATAGTATCTATTAGGTCATGTTTGATTCCACAAGATTAATAGTGAAGTATTAATAATCCAATCAAATTAGTGTGGTATTCACAATCCCACCCCTACCCCATTACTAATAATCCTACAAATTTGTTGGATTAATTATCCATTGGATTGATAATCCTAAAACAAAATGTCAAAACAAATATAGGATAATTGGGCCCGCGGATTAATAATCTCAATCCCATGCTCTAATCCTTCCAATCAAACATGCCAATAAAGGATTAGGCTATGAGATTGGACTATTAATCCTATTGGACTAAGAGTTTATTGTTTGTTTCAAAAGTTTTGTTCCCGACTAATAGTCCTCCGGATTATTAGTCTCATATTTGTGGGACTATCCTCTCCTATAGGGGGTGGGATAGAAATTATGGAATAACTCATCCTATGGGATTAGTCAATGAAATTATATTTTTGCTCTTTAATATTTAATTATGTATTATATTTAGTAAAATTCAAAAAAATTTAAATGTCTCAATTTAAAAATAAAATAATTTTATTTTATTTTTATTTTTGTTTTATTTATTTAATTTTTTAAAATATTTTTTTATAGATATTTTATTGATGTTTTATTTTAAAATTTTGTTTATATTTTATTTGATTTCATTATTTAAATTTTAATAGATGTTTTATTTTATTTCATTATTTAATTATTATTTAAAATAAATTTATTTAAAATTTTAATTAAAAAATAACATATATTTATATTTATATTTAATTTATTTAATTTTTTAAAAATAAATTTATTTAATTGTGCAAAAAATAAAATAAAATATATATATATATATATATATTTTTTAAATCTAGCTAAAAATAATTAAAATATTAAAGGTATGTTTAATATTGCTATTACTTAGTAAATAATTAAAAAGGATAAAATAGTCATTTGAGCATTTATAATTTTTCATAATATCTCAAACAAACATTGGATTCACTAAAAATGGTCCAATCCAGACATCTAATCCCATGACTAAACAAACATAGGATACAAATCCAGTCCAATTAAATAGTTCGGAAATAATATATCCCAAAATTAATAGCCCGATAGATTATAATTCTTTCTTATCCAGTCCGTCAAACAAACGCACCCTTAAATTATTAAACAGCCTACGTAGAATACACTTCTTGTGAAATGGTATGGCCTTGGATTGCTAAGATCTTGTATTAATGGTTTTCGGGGTTTCTGAGACAGCCAGTTGCTTTGATCTACTACACCTGATCCTTACAAAAAAACATAACGGGCTCGTTTGGTTTGATTTTCTGAAAAAAATTTGGGAAATTTTCTCTACAAATAAGTTTTCAAAAATAATCAAACCAAACAGATTTTTTCAAAAAAATTTCCCAAAACTTGTAAACCAAACAAGTTTTCCAAACAAATCTCTCTCTCACACACATCAAATCAATCACTTTTTCCAAAACTCTATCTCAAAATAATTTTCCAAAACATCTTTTAAAAAAAACCAAACCAAACATGTTTTCGTACTTTTTATCTCTAAAACACATCTCTCAAACACAAACCAAACATACCCAACAATTCCAGGGAGTAGAAAATCAAATGTCTATCAATGGCAGCCGAGGGCCTTCCTCCGTTGGTTTCGGTTAAATTCTTAGGCCAAATTTGAAAAAACTAAATAAGTGTACTTTTTGACTTTTTATGAAATATGAGTTGGATTTGGGTTGGGTTTGAAGTGATGTGTTAGAGAGGTGATGTGACTTAAATAAGATGATGTGACTTAAATAAGATAGTAACTTTTGACTTTTTAAATTTTTTGGAGTATGCCAAACTTGGCCTTAGTTTAATTGAGGTTCTTGATCAAACTATTGATTAAATTACAGAGATGGATTTCCCGCAAAACTCTATCAATAATAACTGTAAATTACATCACATAAAATTGTATCAGCAATGTCATGTGTGTGAGTGATTTTCCGACCACACTGCCAACTCAGTATTCAGCTGAAGAGTACTGGCAGAATAGATGACATCTGGCTAACCTGCAACAGAAAGAGAAGATTCCGGTAGTGGTTCGTCCACCCGGGGGCACTCCGACGATCAAGTCAGTATATCTCTCAAGGATAATCAATAATGCTACACTCACTGTTCTGAGTAATAATTTGCGTACCTTAGATCCATTGGGGTGCCTCTCTTTTATAGTTAACTCAATCCTTGTCTCAACAGAAGTCTAGCTTCAATGGACCTTAGCTTAGTAATTATCCAGGACTCTTTTACAGATAGAGATAAACTCCCTAAGAGCCTTATCCTTATCCAGGCTGAGTCCCCTCATCATTCTAGGACTCTTGTGCTCTATCCGCTTATCTCGAATTCCGACATTTTCGGAGATAACCTCGGCCTTGCCGAGACCATGACACGTGGCACCTCGGCTGACACATCGGCGTCACCTTGGTCACGTGTTGGTACTCAGAAAATATATCCCCACAACTGTCTCCTAGATTCTATTACCTCGACATTCTGAGGTGATAGAACCTATATCGGTACTTCCTGCCAGTACATCGGCGTAAGCCGAGATCATCATCATAGGCCGATATGTCTTCTTAAAGATCATGAATCCCAAGGGCTTCTTCACGCGTATGAGCTGTTATACATAACAACTTAACCGTTTAAGCCACGTGCCTTCCCCTTACTGGATCGTACTTGTTACGTGCTTGTAAGTCGTCTTACGCCTGCGTGCGCCGTCTGACAAATCCGTTTTTCTAGGCTCATCAATTCTGTGTTGCCGCCGTTTTAGGTTTTTAACAAAACTTTTCCCCCTTTCGTCTTTTCACTTTACATCGTCTCTATTCAAACTCTTTCTCTCTCTTGCCTTCTCTAATCCTCCATTGTTCCAAGCTCTGAAGCTCTGCTGCCACCGCTGTTTCACCTCTTCCGGCGAAGCTTTTTTTCCGCTACTGCCGTTTGTCTGACTTTGGCGATCTCAACATCGGCTTTTTCCCTCTGGTAAGTCATCGTTCCTTCTGGTTTTAGTTCTTGTTACGCTCCAAGAAATTTTACTTTTTTTAGTCGCCATTGTTGTTTTACTTAAACATTTGATTCATGAATCATGCATCTGAATGTGTTTATTTCATGATTTTGCCCTTTGCCTAATACTCGCACTGCTCACAATTTTTCTGCAATTTTGCAACTGTTCTTGACCTTATACCATTTCACACACTTTGTCACAGTGTTCTTGGTACTTCACCCTTGTTCTTGATTCTGAAACATGTTCTTGTTTTCTGTTTTCTGTGTCTTTTCCAGATTTTTGCCTCCAATCTTGCTCCCATTGAGTTAGGTTTTGGGATTTGCCTATAGAACCCACAAGTTTTTAGGAAAAACTAAAACGAACTCCTTTTAGATCCATACAAACCCTTACCATAGTACATTTTTAGGTTTTTAGCCGAGGTCCTTTAAACCCTAAAAAATACTTCTTCCTGAAATCTGATACTTCCATTTAAGCCGACGCCATGGGTATGTGGAAGCATAGGGTAAACACCCCGACAAAATTAGAATACTTTAGGCGAGAGTTTTCCATCCCTGCCGACGTCCATCTGAGGTTGGCTGGGGAGGATGACTCCATCATGCCTACAACCGATTCCATGCCATTCCCTGTGGTAGCCTTCATTGAGTGTGGACTTCGACTCCCACTTAACATCCTTTTTCGTGAAATACTTCACTACTATAAACTGAACCCAATGCAGCTTGCCATAAACTCCTACCGAGTCATTAATGGGATCATAGCCTTAGCTAAACAGGAAAATGTTAGGGTTACCTTAGCCGATATCGAGTATTGCTACACCATGTGTGGCCTCAAAAAAGACACGGGTTACGTTTACTACCTTAAGCCGAGGTCTACAGCGTATAAAATCGTAGCCGACCTCCCAGACTCCAACAAGGGAGCTGGAGACGATTACTTTATTACCTCGGGGAACTGAGAGTTTGCTCTAGACGAGGACCTTTGTCTCTATCCTCTTCCTCGAACAATCTTTGTAGAGGGCAATGGTAAGAGCCCTGTGTTCATACCAACTTGTTTTTAAAGTCTTCAACACTTTATTTGCTCTGATGTTTGTTTTTTCTTGCAGCTCTTCCTCAGCTACCAAAGGGCTTTCGTCAGTCCTTCTTTCCCAGCAAAGACTTGAGGAAACTCATGGATCTGCCAGTCCTCAAACGGAGAGCTCCTCTGGTACTTAATTTCATCCCCACTTACAAATCAGTACTCCCTGACGTTCCAAAAAGGAAGAAAAAGAGTCTTTCTCCCCCTTCTACCATAACTCCTCAAACAGCCTCCTCATCTC